GGGGGGGGGGGGGGGGGGGGGGGGGGGGGGGGGGGGGGGGGGGGGGGGGGGGGGGGGGGGGGGGGGGGGGGGGGGGGGGGGGGGGGGGGGGGGAGGGGGGGCGCGCAGCAGGTGGTAGAGGTGGAGGAGGTGCTAGGGGAGGAAGAGGACGATGACGATGACGCGGGGGAGCTATTCGTAATCGGCGATGATGAGAGTGAGACCAGCGAGGTATGGTGTATACGGAGGTATTTTATGTTTCCTCGATTTCAGCGCTCTTGGCCCGGAGGCGAAAGCGTAGCCGAGAGGGCAGTACTACTCAAGCTTTGGTAGATGGCAGGGGCTGCGTCGTTGAGGACGAGTTGCAAGATGTGACCCCGCGGTGCTGTTGTGCGTTTGGATCCGACCATCGACGGGCGAAAGGTGGTCGGCACATGCCCGGAGCACCTCGTCTCCCTTTCACCGCCCTCGCCATGCTTGGACACATGCGTTCCACAGCCAGTTTTACCTTGCCTGCTGCCTTCCCGCAATTTCTAGGGACGCGCTCACGTGTTGCGAGCAGTTCGGATGCAAGTAGGAATGATGACTGCCCCACTCCGACGGGCTCGTGGCATGGTGCGCCGAAAGCGACATGACGAGTGACAAGGAAGTCTACGCCAAAACCCCGCCAATCAATGAATTCCGTCTCGGTGCCCCCCCCCCCCCCCCCCCCCCCCCCCNCCCGCCAATCAATGAATTCCGTCCCGGGGCCCCCCCCCCCCCTCCCCCCCGTCCACTCCATTGACAAAAGGCGAAAGAGGGGAGTTGGTTTCAGAGTACACCCTCAAGACGATAAGAACCTGGGACGCAATTTCGACCGCCACTCAGACTATCGGTGTGATTATGAGACCATTTGTATGTACGCATGCAGTTTTGTGTGGTTCGTTCTGTCTCTCTGTCCTTCTCTTTCCGCTTCACGCGAAATACCGCACAAGGTACCACTGTAGCTGGCATGGCAGCTTCATTACGACCCTCTCAATCCCCTTCTTTGTAACGTGACAAACGCATTTCCACTTGAGCTACACTGCTCGCGACATAGCCTTTTCGTGCTATTTACTTGTCACTTTGTGTTGTCTTTCTCCGTGTTAATCTCTGGCAAATGCGTTGCTCGCGTATGCATATCGGCAGAACCCGGACAGTGACTTCGAGGGCTTCGACGGGGAGCATCCGCCGCCGCGTGCTGGAGGCGCTCGCACCGCGGCGGACAAGGAAGTCGCGCTACTGGAGCACCGCCTCAGCGGACAAATCAAGGGGGCGACAATGGTGAGCGTGGTTGGTTGTGGCATGGGTACACTAACTGTGCTTCTTGCGGTTGGCGACCTTGCGGTAATTGTGGTTTTGTCATGCGGTACGTACGTGGTTTATGAGCTTCGTAGATCTTGGTGTACGGTTGCTTTCGACGGTTTCAGCGTCACCACCAAACTGTTTCTCCGCATGTGCCCTTTCCGTTGATGGCTTCCGTTGCTCTGTGTAATGCGCCTGCCTGTTTTTGTTTACTCAGGTCGTAGACGACTTTCTCAAGGTGCCGGGGGCCAAGGTGTTCACCGTCACCAAGCACAAGGTGACCTTCCACGACGTCGACGCCACCCCGGAAACCTCGTCACCAGACAGCAGCACCAGTACCGCCTCTCCCGAAAACGACGCCGAAGGCGAGGACGCAAAAGCTAGAACCACCGAGGAGATGGGAGTTGCAGGAGATTCCGAGGTCGAAGCGAGCGGCAACGCAGACGGCGAGGAGGAGGAGGAGGAGGAGGAGGAGGAGTCGCGGCAGCAAGAGGAGGGGTCCAAGAAGAAGGTGAGGGTCCGCGCGGTAACGGAGCTCGAGCGCGTGGTCTTTCTGTCGCGGGAGCGCATCTTGGTCCTCGCCTGCCCGTCCGGACCGACAAGCCCGGGGCTCGTGAAGTCGAACCACCACCTCACCGAGCTGCAGAAGATGACCTTCATGAGGAGAGACCCATCGCTGGTGACCCTGCACTACTTGGCGCCGGGGGGCCAGCAGGAGGATGGTTCTCCCGGGGCGACGAAGCGGAACGTGTACCGGTTTGGTCTGGACGACAAGGAGGCGTTTATCCGGATCATCCGAGGGGCTTTACAACGGTTCCAGGCGTAAGAATGAGCTGGGCTCGTTTTGGCCTATTTTTTCGCTCCAGAGACAGCAGCAGTGTGCGGTCGAATTTGATGGGGAACCACTGTTGGTGGTTCGGACATGGATGGGTCCCTTTGTTGTCTGTGACAAGACGGTTAGATACTGTGGCATCAGTTTCATTTCTTCATTGGGTGTGGTTTGGTTTGGTTGTTCGGCCTTCCCGGTTGTTTGGAGTTTTTGTCATCCGGTCGCGTTGAATCGTGCCTTGAAACGATACCGTTGTTTTTTATGCAGTCGGGCAAGGGTGGTGGCGGTAGTGCCCATAAGCGCACACGTATGCTGCGATGTTGGAAGGCGTTTTTTTTTGCTTCGGAGAGGAGCGCTAAGCGTGCCCCCCAAGGACTCCTCCCGTTATAGGGGTGGCGCGGGTCGGCGCTTGTGTTTCGCGTTTTGGCACGCTTCCGCTCGGTTCTCCGAAACTGCAATCCATGCGCAGCTAAACAGACCGCCTCAGCTTCAGGAGTTGCCACTCCCGCTGATATGTCGATGAGGCTCGCTGAACTGCTGGCTGCTCCTTCCCGCAAATCGACGGCCGGCGCGACGTTTCTGCCTCTGTCGTTGGTGTCGATCGAGGCTGGATGTTACCGAGTATGGTCCGTAGCACTTTTGCTGCGAAGTTAGGCTGGGCGCAGCTAGTGCGTCCATCAGCAAGGTCGTCGTGTGCCTAGCGACGTGCCTATATACTGGTGTAGGTCTAGGTAAAGAGGTGCGATGCACATAGTATGGAATAGACGAGCCGCAGCAAGCAGTTTGTGCGTCGCGGCGAAGGAATCACAGGCCAGGTGTGTGCGTCCTTCTCTCTGTTTTGTTATGCCCGTACAGTCGACCCCGCTGTAAGGACGCTCGCGTTCAAAGGAAACTCCCCGCCTCAAGGAAACTTTTTTTGCCAAGCACCACGGGCCCCGCCAGAAAGTACGATAATGGGGTGCTCTCACTTTTTCTGCCGCGCACACCCCTTTCTGTGTCCTGTGCGGGGCGCTGCACGAACCACGCACCACAGTGAGTGCAGAAGCGACGCACAGACAGCAGAAGTAGCGAGCGGTCTGCTGCTGCAGCTGTAACAGGGTGTTGGTTTGGATAGATAGGTTCCTCCCATCTACCGGCGGTCCATCTGATGCCGCCGAAAAAAAAGTCGTGCCCAACCTCGTCCCTCACCGAGGGCGAAATTATCTCTCGCTTGGAGGACATTCGATCCTATTTGTACGCGAAAGGAAGGGGTGGCGAGTACTGTGAGACGCAGTATCTTCTTTCGAAGACCGTCCATTCGTTTACTCATGAAACTCAACAGAGCCGTAGAGCCAAGCCGCGGGGGGAGGTTCAGGGAGCTCTTCGCGATATGTGGAGGGAAAAGCCATGAGGGTAGCTTTGGTGTCACTCGGTGCGACAATCAATACAAAACGCTCGTTTTTTTTGTTTTTCTTATTATGACACAACGAGTCCACAAGAATGAGATAAAAAAAATAAATTCTATTATTGTTGTTGTTGTTTCTCACATTAGCTCTATAGTCTAGTCCACAAAAAAATGAGCAGCCCGTGGTCTCAAAACCCGGCACATCCGACGCCGCGGGGAAACAAAACAAAACTAGGGTACAAACTACTCGGAAAAGGAGAACAAAATGATAAAAAGAAAACAGGTACCACCGCACCGACTGTTCGAGAAAAGAGCCCTCGGAAACCGATCAACATCAAACAAAAACAAAAATAAAGGAGGACGCTTCCCACACTCGCATCAAGAAAACACCAAAGGGTAACGAAGCAGCACCAGGCACTACTAGTCTACGCACCAGGGCATGGGAGTAACGGAGCAAACAGGACAAAGAGGGGGAAGATGGGCAGACAGCCAGATATGTATATATATATATTCAAAAACAAATGCAACAGCAAAAGCGAGACAAAGGTGCCCAACACAACAAACAGAGTAGGCAGGGGGTATGTCTACTTGGACTTTCCTCCTTCTTCCGCTGCCGGCTATGCAGTACATCTATTAATAGATGGCCAAGTACAAACTGGTGCACTATAGATGATGTGTTCAACACGTCCCCGACTGCTGTAGCTACATCTCATTTCAAGGATTGTAAATATGTTCGACGACAACAAACGGTTGCCAGTCGTCTCGGCGATGCTGAGTTTTCGTACCACACCCACCCTTGCTAGCAAAAAAAGACGCGTAGTTTGAGGTATAAAGCATGCCTCCATTGACCCCGGGGATGGTGAGCTATCGTCCCCTGCATTTTAAGGACGCAACAACCCCGCTTTTTTCCGGGAAAAACCATGTATGTGCGTGTGCATCCTTAAAGCGGGGTCGACTGTACCTCGCTTCTTGGTTTCCATTCGGTTGAGAGTGAACACAATCCTCTTTGGTAACTTAAAAGTTTTGCGCTCCACGCCGGTGCATGTCATGTCATAGCATCGCACCGACAGAGGATCAATCGCACGGATGTACGTAAAAAACAAGTAATAATGATTTTTCTGCTTTTTTTTTATGCATCGGCACATGCATGCAAGATCCCCTGCGTTTTTTTGTTGGTTGTTTGTTTTTTCTCCCATCATTGGACTCTGTCGTCTGCCCCTCTGGCCCCTATCCTCCACTTCTACTAGCCAGACGACCCGACCGGGGTCACATAGGATGGGGGGTTGGACCCGCTCCTCCTGCGGTTCTTGCCTGAAATACTTTTATCGCGAGATTTCTGAAGAAGGGTACAGCAATTCCTTCCCTCGCCACTTATTATGAAGTCGATCATGCTTCCATCAACGGAGACCAGGATTTCGTAAGCGAGAAAAAACTCACTCTGTCGGGACTCGAACCCATGACCTGGCCCTCAGCAGGCTGCGAGGCCACCCACTAGACCACCGGGGCGACCTGAGTACCCCTCGGTGTTTAACGCGTCCTCTAAGCGCGTACGTACTGTACGTGTAGCCGCCAGAATAAATAATCACCCCGTCGATCACATCACGATTGACACGGCATGTGACGTTCCGTGTATTTCAGCAGCATTATTTATGCGGCGTCACAACACGCTCAAACACGGGGAATTTTTTCCCGTCCCCCCCCCCTCGGGGTTGGGTTTTCGTCGCTTGGCAACGACGTTGTAAAACAAGCC